AGTGGGGATAATCCATGCTAATTCACAGGAGCCTGTGGGCTTAATTGCCATTTGCTCCTTCACTCTAGACACAATTGTATCATTGCAATCATTGGGAGCTGGAGAACAGAGGTATAGAGTAGCTGAATATTTATGAGTCATTTTGTTGCAGATGTACCTACCAACAGAATATTAAGTAGAACATTTGCTAAGGTACCAAATTCTCTTTGTGATTTGAGTATATCACCTCATATTAAGTCTTTGTGTTTTTCTAGCTTGCATATTGCACCTGGTTTTTCTTTCAATCAACTCTGTAAATATAATTCAGAGTGTGTTTATTAGATTTGTGATAGCTAGTGGTAACCAGAAACTGCCAGACAGATCTGCCTGTGGAGTAAACAAACAAACAAACAAAAAAAGCAAAATGAACATCTTTAAAATGATGAAAAAACAATTCTCAAAGTGATGTCTGTATTCAATTTCCAGGCAAGGAAATGAAAAATGAATTCTGTGATAGAGAGAGGGAATGGCTAGAGCTTCCATCTCTGAATCTATAGGATAATGTCACCCTGTGCAAGTGAATACAAATAAGGAGGTTTAAACAAACTACAAACAGATCCTGCTATCTTTGTGATGAAAAATAGGATAGCACAGAGAATTGATATACAGAGCAAAACAAAATTGCCTTTTAGCTAGAGGAGCCCATCAGCATGGAATCTTTCCTATCAGAGCTGATAAATGGATAGAAGGCTTAATAGTGGGGCAAAGGCCTTAGAAAGTACATAAACTATGTAATAAATCTCTGCACATTTTTAAGAATGGCGAGTTCATAAAGTAATTCAAAGCATCTGGATCATTAGATCAATCAATAAATCTTAGCAAATTGATAGCTCCACACATACAGGGACCCTACGTTTTGATACAGTGTAGATTTCTCAGGATGGATTCAATTCATGTTATTTCATTCTTTTCAAAGAGTGGACTTCTCAAACGGATAACTAAGAGTAATTTAATCTGCATATCTTTAGGAAGACACTTCATCTTCATACATTCACAAGTCAGAACAAATCCTTTGTTGGTTCATGTATCTGAGTGAGATTCAGAAATTATGTTCAACATACCTAGAGAGGTATTTTAGTTTATGATCAGTCCCTAATGGTCACTTCAAGAAATTCCTGTCACTATCCATTCCTTTTAACAATATTGTAGACTATTGTCACAGCTAAAAACTGGAAGCAACTTAAAAGTTCTTCAAAGGGAGTTTGTTGGATAGATTATAGCATGTCCTTATTTTACCTTGCTAATCAGCATCACCCCCCAATAACCAGATAGCTCTATATTTTTTAATATGAAATATAACCAACATGTATTAAATGTAAAACCAAGATACAGAAGACTATGCATATAATGATAATCTAACTTTGAAAAAGGAAAACAAAGAACATTTACATGTAAACCCAAGTTTTAAATTGTTTCTACAAGGACACATAATAAATTGTTAACAATTATTAATTTTAGGGAGAGGCACTTGGGGTAAATGTACTGATGTGTCCATGATAATATAGTTAAAATAAATCAAATTGTAGAAAAATATGTATTTATGAATATATTATTTTTAAACTATACACATCTATACACACCCATACATAATACACACACACTTACTTAATCCATAGGGGTAAAACTAAATAAAATAGACACCTATGTAGAGAGGATTCTCAGTAGGTTTTATTTTCTACTTCATGTACTTTTTTATGGTTTGAGTTTATTTTATTCAAAATCATAATGTATTACATGTAAAATTTTTAAAAACAAAGAAAAGATGCTTAAAAACTACTCCAAAACTAATTTACTAATGAGTAGTAACTTTTGTTATTATTATTTATCATTGTGCTGTTTAAATATTCCTGAGACACCTCTAACTATAGTGAATACTTTTTTATTAAACCCAGGTAGGGTTCACAGCTTTTAGCAAATGTTCCCAAAAGCCTTGTTCTCATGAATATATAAATACACACATATATAATTTATGTGTAAGTAGATTTATTGAGATTTGTAACCTAGCAATGTGTTCATCAAAATTTATTTTTTAAAGGTCATAATCTTTCTATGGACCGTAAATAACAATTTATTAGGCAAAAGCTGAAGCTAGACATGTAATCACTCCTATTGATTCATATAATTGCCCCATTTTCTCAGATGTCATATGGCCAAGACGGAGGTAGAAGAAATTCTATGGTGTTACAGTTTCCTTAGTGATGAGCAGGCAGTGATTGTGGCTGGCAGTCTAATTTCCCCAGGTGGGTTATCAGTACCAGCAATTCCTTTCAAAGTAAGCTTTTAAGACAGTGGTTCATAACCTTTTGGGGGGGGCACAGATTCCTTTGAGTTAGTACTAATGGTGTGGGGGTGAAAAGAACATGGGCTTTGCAACCTGGCAAAACACTGTTTAAATCCCAGCTACACTGCTTATTTGATGAGTGACCTTAAGCAATTTACTTAACTTCTCTGAGCCTCTTCTCATCTATAAAATGTCTGGCACATGGTAAGAACTTAGTAAAAGTCAGAAATTATCTTAATATTTTAGAATATGATGAAAACTATAGACTCTGTCCTCAGAGGAAAAATCCATGCTGCATATTTAGGATGTTGTATACCATTTCAAGGGCTTTGTCCACCTATCAAGGCCATTTTGGACCTCAAGTCAGGAATCCCTGATCTAAGGTTTGGAAAGAACATTTGAAGAAACCTGAATAGTAAAAGCAACATTTTCTATTCCTTTTGCTTATTGTCATTTTAGGCTGTATTTTCTTTTGCCTATTTGTTGTGTTAGATTATTTGTGTATTATGGCCACCAAGACTTAATCAGACCAAGAGAATAGATTTTACATTAAGTGTACAAATGAGCAAAATAAATAAGGGCTGTCTAGTACTTTAACACATCAGTTAGATTTAGCAATTTACCAGCAAAGTGGTAGGAAAGGTCATAGCAATTCACTGGCCAGAGTAGGTTTTCAAAGATTGCTGCTAACCATATGGATTTAATGGAACCATGCTTCTAGTTTCTTAGATCAAAGATAAAGTCACTTTAAACTGATTTGGGTGAGCTGTTCAAGCTTAAGTTTACTAGTCCCCAGCTCAGTTTTATAATCAGAGCCATCTAGGACTATTCTCTTTTATTTTCAAGGCTTCAGAGAAGAAAAAAAAACACACAAATGTGTTTAGGTGGTAGCTCAAAAGAACACAGAAACTGTTCCTTTGCATTAGTCTGATCTCAAAGAAACACAGAAACCTCCTGGAATATGCCTCTGCCATTAATTCAAACAGCATGCAGGTGGTTGGTAAAAACGTATTTCCATAGTCTGTGAGAGCTCTATTAGACATGGATCTAGCCCCCCATTCCCTCACTGACCCCCTACCCAAAATCCATAAGAGCACTAAATATTGCTCCTCTAAGAATAAGTGAACATTTGAAAAAATGAGATAAAATCCAATCTTGATGTTATTATCACTGACTTTAGCCACACTTCAGGACTGCTGTGCTGATGGTGGAGAAGATTGGACTTAAGGGGACAGTGGAGTTGCACAGAGAAAAACAATTTTTTATTTCCTCATCAAAACTGGAAAGAAGGGGGAAATAGGTGTGTAATTATAAAAAGCCAGTTTTCTTACAAGAACTCCATTCTAAGATCATCATTGCTCCCCCCCCAAAAAATAAATTGGTTTATAAATACCATTGCCCATTAAAAGGAACCAGGGCTCTTTGGTAAAATGACTGATCCTTGGATTGAAAAGAGAAAGTGCAAGATGAGCCTGTAATATCTTGTTGTGCCAAAAGTAAGGAAGTGCTCAAAAATGATGGGAACATGTCAAAAGGACACAAGAGCCAGATTGAAGGATTCCCACTGGCCAAATCTGGGCCAATCTGAACATCAAAATAAATGATAGCAACAGATTGCAATCCAAATTAAGAATCTATGAGTTTATGCTGATATAAACACATAAACAACTAGAAAAAATAAGTAAATGTGAAGAAGAGAACACTCTTCCTTACAATAGAAGACTAATAAATGTAGAAAAATGAAGTTTTAAAAATCATCAATTTGCAAACTTTATAATAATAACTGATTGGGGCAAGAATCATCAATAGATGTAAAACTACTGGGTGAAAGTTTGATAAGAACAAGATATCTACATACCTTCCAAATATCTCCCCAGAAATTAATTATTAATTGCAACGGAAAAAGTAGTAACTATAATAGAGAAATCTAGCAATCACCATCAGAATCAAATGATCAAAGTTACCAATACCAGTAATGGGACAAATTAGCATCATGAAAGACAAGGAAAGAATGTTTTGTTCCAGATTAGAATCTAATGAGACATGATAACTAAATTTAATGTGTGATCCTGAACTGGATCTTGGATCAGACAAAAACAGCTATAAAGAAAATTATTAGGATGATTGGATAAATTTGAATATGGACTATGAATTAGGTATTAGTATTATATCAATGTTAAATTTCCTGATGTTGATCATTGTACCATGGTTATGTAAGAGAATGTCCTCTTTCTTAGGAAATACACACTGAGATACTTAGGGGTATTATTTAGGGATAATGAGGCATTATGTCTGCAACTTTTAAATCATTAAGAAACAAATAAAAATAGTGTGTGTGTGTGTGTGTGTGTGTGTGTGTGTGTGTGTGTGTGTGTGTGTGTAGGTAGGAGGAAAGAGAAAGAGAGAGGGAGAATAATAAAACAATAATAAAACATAAGGAAAATTTAACAAATGGTGAATCTGGGTAAGGAATATACAGAAGTTCTTTGTCCTATTGCAATATTTCTGTAAGTTTGAAATTATATCAAAATAAAAGACAAAGAAAAGTAGATGACAAAACTGGAGTACCCTCTGAGGAAGACAGAGCTGTGAGCTAGGAGTGAGTCATTTGGAGTAGCAAGCAGAAGAGTACTGCATCACTGCTACCCTTACTAAGGAGGACAATTCATAAGTTGCTCACAGCAGCGCAGTCTTGTGTCAACAGTTGGATGATCTTGTTGACGAGCCAAACATCTTCCCAACTAACTATGTTTCCACCCAAGCACTTCATAAACTCCTCATTTTCCAGGATGTAGTCCCAGAGTTGTAAGTAGTACAAGCTACCAGTGAAGCAAGGCACCATACTTTTAACCTGTTTCTGTTCTTAAGAAAATGTCCTAGAAACAGAGTCCCATTAGGTGTCAGGTTTTGTGGTTGACCCATCATTACCAGTATTCTTTCTTTATTCAGGAAGAGCTCTAATTTGCCTTTCATGCCATCCCATATCAAGCATACTGTATGCCATTGAAATGGAATCAAGTGGTAATGGATATAAAAGGTTTTGCACAAGTTGTATAGTGTTAACTGCTGGTGATCTCCTGCAAGCCCAAGGTCTATGTCTTCTCCTATATTACTGATAATAATATATTACTAATAATATAGGAGATGGCCAAACAATCACTTGATTTGTCATCCACAAATACCAGGTCAATGTATTCTGTGAATCAAATGAGTTCAGGAATGGTGTTGGTCAGGCTTACATATGTGTGAGCTCTTCCATAAAAATCCAGCCTTTTTCCTTTTAGTGAAAGTGCATCTGTCCAAATTTTGGGAAGGTGAAGGGAAAACAATTGAAATTTTAGTAACAAGAAATTGTATTTTGTCATCTTTTTTAGCTATATAGTCAAATCTATATTATGCAATAGTACTATTGTAAATCAATACTGGTACAAATAAGCCAAATAGTAGATATAAAAAAAATCATATCTATTTGACATCAGCATGTGACTTTTTTGGCAGAAGAGATTCTTCCTAATTATATTTTGCCTGGGCTAATGTGAACAGTTAGATTAGTGTTCCCAGAGCACACATAAGCTGGATAATTTAGGGAGGCAGTTAGAAGTATATGGCTAGTGGACTGGGGGGAGGCCAAGGAAAAGGCAGTTTGGACTTAAAATTTGCTGCACATAATTCCACTCACATAATCAAAAGGTAACTATTTCTATCTACCTAACTGCCTTATTATATTCATGGTGCAGCAGCAATTTATTTATCCAATGCCTTTTCCTAAACCAAATTATCTGATTATTCTGCCTCTGAAGACTGCTTCTCACTGAAGGCACTGACAGGGGCCTGACGAACGGCCAGCTGGACAATACTGAAGTGCCAGGGCTTCTGTTTGCACCCAGGAATGGTAGAAATGACACAACCCTGAGTGTATCTTGATTTCCTCCTTCCATCTCCTCAAAGGAGGCTGCAGAAGCTTTAAGAGGCTCTAGATGTCCATGAAGTCAGTTTTCACTGGCGCTGGAGTCACACAGCCTGGGATGGAATCCCAGCTCTGACATTCATCAGCTGTGTGACTTTGAACAAGTAACTTAATATTTCTATGCCTTAATGTTTACTTCAGTAAACTGGGAATTCAGAGCCACAGTGTTGTATTTATGCACAACTCTAGGGGCCACCATTCACATTATAGTCTATGCCAGATAATACCTCTAACCTACTGGCCTTACAAGACTGTTTGAAGGTTAAGTGAGATGATGATGTATGCAAAGTCCTCTCAAACATTGCTGAAGAGTATGTACATTGGTACAGTATTTTGATGGGCAATTTGGCAATATGTATGAAAATTTAAATTGAGTATGCCATTTATTTCATGGAAAGCTATTGATGAGTCATTATACTATTACCGTTATAAACTTTACACCCCAGGCCACTAAGCAAATATATAATTGCTGAGCATCAACCTAATTCCAGTTCCAGCACAGCCTAAGACAAATCAAAAAAAGCTTTATGGTAAGACAGAATTCCAACTTGTCTCTGAATTAGGGGTGTAATGTTGAGACCACCAATCTAAAACTGGTAGCCATAACAGCGCACTAAAGAAACTGGCAGGAAGTGACCATTTCTGCGCTTCTGGGAGATGTCCCAAAATGAAAGCTTCTAGAAATTCTGTAGCCTTATGGTATTTTCTCCCTCCATTCCTCCACTGAACATCATCCAAAAGCAAACAAGTACATGCTGGCCCCCACACATTCACACACATGCACATATATCACACACCCATGTGCCAGAACTTAAACCATTCACCTGCCAGGGAGCTATTTCTGGACTGTCCATGGCAGATGAGCAAATGCTTATTTCTGTATCTGGCTTATGTGATTATATTATCATCTTTCATGTGGCTAATAAATCAAGAGTTAATCCCCACAAAGTGATAATCATGAAACCCAAGGCTTGATTACGGTTCGTTAACATTGCTTTTCTGTTCAGCCCTCCAAAATGACATCATGTACAGCATTTAAGAACGAGTTTTATGGTGAAAATAAATTTCCAGGGCTTATTTGTCCCTTAAAAGAGAATGTATCATAATCTTTTTTTAAAATAAATCTTTATTGTTCAGATTATTACAGTTGTTCCTCCCCCCCCCCCCATAGCTGCCCTCCACCCAGTTCCCACCCCACCCCCTGCCCTTACCCCCCCACTGTCCTC